GTCACACTACATACTTGGGTCCTCAATATGGCCTGTCTCCCTACAGTTTCCACATGTACTTGAATGTATATTACTTGGTGGAGTGTTCCACAAATGTCAATTAGATTAAGGTTTAATGGGTTTTTCCAGTCTACCTTTATTTTCTAATTACATCAGTTGGGAGAGGTATGGAAATCTGTATCATGATAGGCTCCTCTATTTTTATCATGCAATTCTATTAGATTTTATGTATTTCTAAGATTAATAGGAATATACATGTTCTCCTTTATGATGAAAGCACTTGCATTCCTAAAGTTTTGATTTCCTTTTCTTAACGTAACCACTGCAGCTGTCTTCTGATTCCGACCTTCTGATTTCTTTTGTCATGGTCTATCTTTTCCACCTTTTTTTCAACCTACTTATGTCTGTTTCCTATGGGATTCTCTCAAGAACATACAGGGCTTGCTTTTTTTTATCCAGTGTGACAACTACTGTCTTGCAAATGGGATGTTTGGTATTTACTGTGCTAATACAAGGGTTTAAATATACCATACTATTTGTTTTCTATTTGTCTCATCGTTCCATTTTTTTCCTGGCTTTTTTTGAACCAGGTATTTGGGGATTCCATTTCCCTCCTCCCTTACAAGCTTATGTATATAATGCTTAGTGATCAGAGTTACTCTGGGGCTTGCAGTGTCCTTCAGGATGTGACACACTCTGTGCTGTGCCATCGTCCATTTCCGTTTCTGCCCCCGTGCCCAGGCCTATTGTTGCGTGTATTTTACTTGTACATGTAAGTCCTGCGACTTATTACTGTATCTGCGTTAAATAGCTCATTCCCTTTTAAAGACATGTTTCCTCAGCATTTCCTGTGCTCATTTTGTATACAACCAGGTTTTCCATCTGATAGTTTTCTTACACCAAAAGAACATGCTTTGTTTTCTGTATTAGCTATGTTGGTAAATTCTTTCAGACTTGGAAGAGTTGAATTTCTGTGACTCACCTCTATTCTTGAAAGACATTTTCACCGAGTACAGAAAACTACACTAAGATGTTGCATCATCTTCTAGTTTACACTTGACAAGTCATTCTTACCACTGTTCCTCTTTGCTGGACACATTTCTTTATCATTGGCTTTAAGGTGTTCACTGTAATTGCCTTCATGTTTCCTATGCTTGTGGTTTTTCAAGCTTGCTGCCCTTGTGGTAGCTTCTTCAAAGGCATGTCATTGCCTCGAAGACAATCCTCCCCTGAAGAAACCTCTCCTCTCCGGCCCTTTCGTACCAGCTTGTGGCCTTGGGCTTCCTGCCCACCTCTCTTCCTCTCAACTCGGGGACACTGCATGGCTAGAAACTCTCCTGAGGGATTAGGCGAGAAGCATGAAGAGGACTTGCCTTGCTAGTTTTCCATTCTCAGGTGTCACTGTCTTCCAGAGGCTATGTCCAATGTACTGAAAAATGATGCTTGACATATTTGGCCATTTGTTCCAGGTAGAAGGGTAAATCTTGGCCTGAAGCTAAAGTCCCCTGCTCCTTTTACTTCTTACCCTCTAATTTGGGTTTGATCAGCCATTATTTTCATGTATTCTTGAACCAAACGCTAAGCTGATTTAACTTTATTTTCCCTATTACAGGCTTTCAAAGTAACATCTTTGATGTTGCTAAAACACTGCTTTAGCTGAATCCCACAGGTGTTCATAAACCGTATTTTCATTCAAAAATCCCACCGTCACTTTTCCTATGACTTATGGGAATGTTTAATTCTGAGCTTTCACTGTGCCCATTCTCTTATTTCCAAACCATATTCTTATTCTGAAATCACATCTCTTGCAAAGATATATCTAGTATTGTGAATCTATTTTAAACCAGCCCAAAACTCTGGATTAGAGTATACAGTCCATTTATATTTACTGATATAGATTAACTGGCCTGTTCTCTCATTTTTTTCTCTCAAAAAACTTGTGTTTTTCATTATTACCTTTTTCTCCTTTGCTAACATTTATGCTGTATCTTCCTTTATTAATTTCTTAATGGTTATTATGGAGATTAAAATGTTTTCATGATTTCTTAAAGTCTGCCTTAAATTAGTACTGTTACCATTTCCTGAAGAATGAATCTTACATGACCTCTTCCTCTTCTTGTGTTTTCATTTAATTTCCAGTTTTAACTCTGTAAAATACTGTCGGTTTTAGTTATGTATTCACCCTCAAATCTAGTACTGTGCAGTTTCAATCACATAACATCTGAATCAATTACATATGAAATGTACAAATTCCTTTCTGTGGCCTCAAGGCCTGTATGACAGGGTCTCTAAACTGTGAAACGCTGTCTTACAGCATTTATTCCTAAGTCATTCACTGGTTTCTTAACGTTTTCAGGAACAGAGTCTGCTCCTCCGGCAGTGATCTTTAAAGCATTCTGCTACCCAAGATAATGTGCCTGACCCCATCCCATCTAGAGTAGTACACACCCGCCCTTTATTTCCTTCATACTACTAATCAGAATTTGTAACTGTTTTCCTTACTTCAAAGTGACATCCACTAGAATACATGGTCCCACCTTTCAATCACTATTTCACTGCCAATATGTTAAACATAATTCATTAGTATGATCTAGGTGTTGATATTGCTAATATCCAAATTGTTCAAACACTATAATTACCCTCTGGAAGGCCTGTGCTAACTTACCCTTTTATTTAAAAAAAAAAAAAATTAAGGATTTTACAAAAATATATCACATTGACTCAAAGAGCCCCAGTAGTTCAACGTGGCTGGGGAAAAAAACAAAAACATACACGTCTAAAGGTGGAGCTAAAAGCCCCCATCCCTACACTGATGATGGCCTACACTCAGTAAAAATTGATCTGAAAGAAAACCACAGGCTAAAGGAGAAGTGGATAACTGCAGTGGCGACCCGAGGCAAACCCTACCTGGACTAAGTGATGAATGTTAATATTCCCAGTGAAGTCACATGAGTATCATGCAGCTCTCACTGGAAGTGACAGGAAAGACATTTTTCCTGTTGTGCTCTTTGCAAAAACCCATAACCTCTGGACACAGATGTCCAGAATGGGATAGCAGACATTCTAGAGGATACACGGCCTGTATTCTTCAAGACTGTTAAAGTCATCAAAAGCAAGGAAAAATTGTCACAGACCAGAGGATATTAGGTACGTATCGCAACTAGGACAGTGTGGTACTCTAGACTGTATCCTGGAACAAATTAATGCAAAGAATAGCAAAACTCAAAATATGGAATGTAATTCGTATACCCTCTTAGTTTTGACAAACATATGGTACTATGTCAGTAACTGTGAAAACTGGTGGGTCTACAGGAACTCTGCCCAAACCTTGCAGCATTTCTGTAGATCCGAAGTTATATCAAAAGCATTTGTCTACCTACCTGCCCATAATTAACTGAAATTATATCTTTGCTACCAAATTACCAAAATAAAAAACATCTGGCCAGGCGCAGTGGCTCACGCCTATTAATTCAACACTTTGGGAGGCTGAGGTGAGAGGACTGCTTGAGCCCACGGGTTCGAGACCAGCCTGGGCAACTTGGCGAGACCTCATCTCGACAGTAAATCAAAAAAAATATGCTGGGCATGGTGGCGGGCGCATGGTGGTGTGTGCCTGTATTTGCAGGTACTTGGAAGGCTGAGACAGAAAGATAAGTCTCAGGCAGAAGGATCGCCTGAGCCCAGCAGGTCAAGGCTGCGGTGGCTGTGAGCAGGCCACTGCACTCTAGCCTGGGCGACAAAGTGAGACTCCGACTCAAATAAAAAAGAGAAAAAGAAAAAGCCAGGTGTGGTGGCTCAAGTCTGTAATCCCAGCATTTTGGGAGGCTGAGGCGAGAGGATTTCCTGAGTCTATGGGTTCAAGACCAACCTGGGCAACATAGTGAGACCTCGTCTCTACAATAAAAATCAAAAAATTAGCCAAGCAAGGTAGCACGCGCCTGTAGTTCCAGCCACTTGGAAGGTTGAGGCAGAAGGATTGCTGGAGCCCAGCATGTCGACGCTGGGGTGGCCATGAGCGTGCCACTGCACTCCAGCCTGGGCGATGGAATGAGACTCTGGCTCAAAATAAAAAGAAAAGAAGAAAAAAATCTGACCATTTGGCTTAATAACTTCACACTTATTTTCTCAAAAGGCTATTTGGTTTTTATTATATGTAATACTGAAATGTGTCACCACGCTTGAGGGAGAATCCCCACTTTGCGACTCCTATGGCTTCCTTGGGCAAGTTTTTATCTCCTTATGCTTTAACACTCCTTTTATTTTTTTAAACAGGTGATATACAATAGTATATACCCTGACAAGATTACAGGGAGGAGAATGACTCTGAATCACTTATTGATATCTATCTCATACAGTACTTTAATTAAAACTGTGTTTTCCCAGAAATAAGATAAAACAACTTCCAGGTTAGGAAAGCTATAGGGCATTTCTAGTTTAAAAAAAAAAACCATTTAGACTTATGTCAAAAACAGGGAGTAGAGTTTCCCTAACTTCTCTCCAACACCTACAACACTGTTGTGAATGCCAGAGAGCAAGAAGGGAAGATGAGATGGTATTAAAGACCTACTCCACCTTCTTAACTGTGCCTAGATATGGTCTTGTATTTACAGCTTATTTCAAACTTGGACATTTATTAGCAAATACCTTTGATGACAAAAGGATTCCAAACAAAACTTAAGAAAACTCAGTAGTTATACAGATAACTGAGTGCTATAAAATGGCAGTTTAAGACTAATTCAGGAAGTACACCAAGACATGCTTCTGTAACACATGGAATAAGGTATGTGACGTTCTGATAGAAAGCACTCAACTAATTTGGGAGCTCTCTAATTAAAAAAAAAAAAAAGTCATAACTAAAAATTCTGAGTAATAAAGACTGAAGTAATAATGGATTTGGAATTAAAATACCAAGCACACGTGTAAAAAAGGTAAGTGAATATACAGAGCTTAAAAAAATGAACCAAAACTGTAATTAGCTTACAAACGAACATTAGATCAGATCCGAATTTAAAAACCTCTAGTTTATTTCTAACAAACACCACTTGATGCTTAACGCACAGGCTTTATTTACATTTGTCTACAGCATCATTTCCTTATGAAATGAACTAGTACAGCTCAGTTAAAACCAAACGAATCATAATCATCTGAATTGTCTGTAAAACTATTAGCTAAATTATAACCTTGCATTTGCTTAGTACAGCCAAAGTTTTAAATACAGAAAGCACAAGAATAAACCAATGGTAACATGTAGAATCTAGATCATCTGGGCAATTTAGAAAGGTAGACTTTCAAAAATGTCTGAGGCACAATTACGAGAGAGTAAAAGTTCTTGTGCAACCTACAGTAAACGTAGCAAAGAAAATTAAGACATAAAAAACACGGGAAAGCTCATTGTAAAAATATTATCAAAATATTTCTACATAAGATATTTTGCTTTCATCTTTAGATCAGTTAAAGAGAAAAACACTTTAAAACAAAATTTAATTTTGTTTGGTCTGTCTACGAAATACCTTAAAATGCTTTAATTTTATTTAAATTGCAGCAGACAATGTTAAGAAAACAAAACAAGAACAAGAAATCAATACCCCATAACAAACAGTCCCCCAGAACAATTGTTGATTTCCCTTAATATACTTACCTTGCATTGCCACTGAAGATAAACTGTTAAGAGAAACCTTTTTATTTTTTACCAGAAAACAAAATGGAGCTCACGTGACCAGATTTTAATTTTGAGAAATAAACTCTGAAAGCATTTTAAGCCATAAGTTCTTTCAAATGGATAAGAAAAATAATGCCGTTTGCTTACATCATGCAGATAAGCAGTCCTTTTTACTCAGAAAAAAATTTTACACAGTGTGTGTATAAACATCTTGAGGCAAACGTTTAAATTTATAATGTCTCCACTGGCCTTTCACCAAAGGAGAAATATGCTTCAAAAGCTTTCTTCAATTTGCTCACTAACTATGATTTAACCTTTTCTACTCTATCATTTTTGAGAACTAGGTTTTAAAGGATAACACACAAAGCTTCTTAAAATATTGATAAACATTTTCAAATAAGATGTTTGTCCAATCAGGCAACCGTATCAGTACAGAAAAGATAAGTTGTTGGACTTTCTTTCTTGCCCCAAATGATGTGTCAGAAAGAAAAATGAGTAATACTTTTCTCCTGCAAATACGAAATTATTTTGCATTAAATGTGGTAGTCCAAAAAAGTAAAGTTGGATAAAAGAGCAACAATGATTCTAAGGCACCCTTAGCATAGGGAATTTCAAAATAAGGAAGTTTCCAGCTGGTTGCTTGACAACTTAGTTTAACTTTTTTTGTTGAGTATATTTCAACACAGGTTAACAACATAAACAGGTTGACTTATTTTCCAGATTAACATAAACAAGTTGTTTCCAACTAGTTTACCAGTCCTGCCTCCATGCCCAAAGTTTAGGCAAGTCTAGGTAATCTTGGTCTTATTCAACAGACAGGCTATCTTTGAAAACAGGAAAAATGAGTTTAAATTAGGAAACAAAGAACAGTTATGCTGAGATGGTTTTAAATGAAGCAGACTGTTGTAAATAATGAATGATAAATAGAGCATCTATTCTGAGACATTATGGCTTAAAATGCTATTTACTGTTAACCTCACAAATAAACACAGCTGTATTGTTCTTAAAAGCAATGAAAGGCATGCACCTCTACTAGCAGATTTAGCACTTCTGACCAAGTAAGACACCAACTTCTTTAAAAATATGCTTCATGCACTGTACTGGATTGTTTAAAGATGTAAATTTTAATACATTATTTCTTTTTTGAACTTGAACGGGAACCAGATTGGGACGATCCAGAAGATGACCTGTGGCGCCTGTAAGACACAATGGAGAAAGCAGGCATTCTAGTAAGCTAGAGCTGGATTTCAGCATTCATTCTAAACACTGAAGATATGAAAATTAAATATCCTGATGCTGCCAAAGTAATTAGAAACTAAGATGTAAACTCACACACATAAAATAACATAGTGTTTTAGACTTTGGATGGGAGCCCAATAATGTCATGAATTAAAAATTCTCTACAATCTAAAAATATCTTCTCATCTCAAAATATAGCCACCTCTCAATTATTTAAGATGAATAAAAGCCTTGCAAAAATGTGCAAAATTACAGATAATGTACAACAAAAGCATATTAAAAACTTGGTAATGAAGTGTGACTAAACAAATCTCTGTGATATACTGTACAAAGTGTAGTATGTCTATATGTAAAAAACAAAAACAAAGCAAGGCTTCCAATTGTGTAAGATAAAACATATTCACAAATAATTAGGTATTGGAAATCTAGGTCACACAAGATGATTGTACAATTAGTTATAGGGTTATATTCATGCAGCTAATATGAATAAGTCAATATCAACCTGGGTAAAGTAGTGGTGTTCCGTAGGGGTTGGCCCTGGGCTCAGGGTTGTTTAGTGTTTTCACCAATCACCTGGCTTATGGAATAGAGAACATGTTCATTAAGTTTAGATGACAACAAACTAGGGGGATTATATGTGGCTAAGATAAAAAAAAATTTGCAGAGTTGGTAAGGAAGCAACAGAATGAATTTCACTCAAATACAGAGTAACTTTCTTACAAAGAAACAAATGCACAGAAACAATTCTAATTGTGTGTAATCTTAATATCTAAATTTCAAAATGTGAAGCAAAACTAATCATTCTGTACAAGTAGGAATCATAAGATAATCCTACCACTGAACCCAGCAATTATCCAACTTTACATAATCCTTATTTTCACAAGCTAATAGGATATGAAAAATGTGCAAAGATTACAAATGAAGCCATTAAAATGACTATAAAATCAGACATTGAGAACCAAGAGATAGTAAATGAAACTGAGTAATTAGCCTGTTGCATACAAGGCTGATAGATTACAGTTACATTCTCCAAATTTTAAAAATGTCAATACAGAAAAAGTAACCTAAAAAAAGTCTTCCTCAAAAAATATTTGGAATGCAAGATAAAAAATGTGTGAGCTACAAGGAGCAATTTCCTTATAAAGGGCATGAAACAATTTGCTGTGGAAATGCATTTACACATATTTAAATCAGGATAGATTCCCAATGAGCTAAAAGTTAATTTTGGATAAATATAAAAATCAACCTGTAAATTACTCTACAACATACAGTTTATGAATTGCAATACTAAAAGGCAGAAATAACCGAGAGTTGGCTATAATAATTATTTGTGGAAATTAAAATTTAAACAATAAAATGGTCAAGGAATAGTTTGATGTACAACTATTCTAAACAATCTGATCAAAGTACAAAGGCTAAACAATTTAATCTACTTTTTTGAAGTTCAAAGTTGAAGAGTATAATTTAAAGTTGGAACAAAGGAGGTAATAAAAATCTAACCCTTGACTAGGAAGTTTATCTATTAAACACACTTCAGAACACCCATTCTTATTTCTACAGAAACCCAAACCTTTCGGGTGACCGTGATCTTGTTCGTCTTTTTTTTCGATCACCAGATGAAGAAGATCTGGAACGACTTCTCTTTCTGTTCCTCTCAGGAGAAGATGACGAGCTTGAATAGGATCTTTTTCGTGGGGAAGAAGAGCCCCTGTGGGACCTGGAGCTGGATCTTCATCGATGGAGAAACAAATCAAGTGTTTCGTTAAAAGAAGAAAGGAGGAGGGTGGCTTAGTTATCAGAGAGCTCCAAAATAAACAGGATGCGCAATGACCATGAAAATTGTATAAGAATACTTACTGCTTACGCAACAGAAGACTTCTGGATCAATCATGAAAACACTCTACTTAAATACAGTTCTTTTAATTTCATTGCTTTTTAAAATTCTAAGTGCTCATTACTTGTAATTAAAATTCAGCTTACTATGTCAAAACAGAATTTAAAATTGTTTTTGTTTAAGGCTTTTCAAAGAATATACAAATAGTAAAATCAACACTTTATGTTTAGAAACTGTATCTTTCAATTTGGGGAGAAAATATATTATCTTATATACAACTTCCTGAGGCAAAAATAAACATAATTCCTTATGGAATTATGCACCTAATTAGTTAAGGTGTTATAGAAAAATCAGGGATATTAGACAGAAAAAAAAACTTCACTATTAAATTACTAAACATTTTTTTAAAATGAGTAACTTTAAAACTTAATTTATATTTAGAATACTTTTTACGAAAAGCCACTACCCATGAAGTATGAAGTGTTGACATTCACATGCTTTAGGCAGAATTAAATATGCAAATGTTTAATTGTAAATTTTTTTTCTTCATTTATGTATTTTGGTTGAAGGAATTTAGCTCAAACTTCCCAAAAAATTCACCTTTGGGCTTAAAATAAAACAAGAAAGCCCAAAAGGAGAATTCTTTGGAAAGTTATAAGCAATGAAAAAATGGGAAGAATACGAAGGTTGTTCTGCAACCCTTAATTATAGTGGTTCCCAAAGGAATATCAGAACGTAAGGAATTCCACCTTAAATGCACTAAAGAAATGAACTAAAAGACTGACACTACACAATAAGAAAACATTTGCTATTTTGAATTGGCATAATGCAAGTGTGCACATAATCCCTCTCTTCTAAATGTGATTACATTACAGTATCCCGCTAAAGTTAGATTTGGCTTGAATAAACCAGTGATTATTTTTATCAAAAGAGCCATTACTAAATTTCAATGTGAATTTCCACACAAAATCTTAGTCACTTTCTTATTTATTGTAAATGCCTTTTGTAGACTGTAAATTAACTTATAAATAAAGGCAGCATATTTTGACTAAACACAGAAAAACTTTCTGAGACACATCCTTTACACATTATGCTTCCCTCTACAGGTCTGACTAAATGCAACCTGAGAGTTTACAATGTTTATTATTTGAGACCTCCTCCTTTCTACCTAAACTAAACAAATCTTATTTCCTGACTTGTAAGAAGGGTGTTGTTTTACAAATACTATCCATACTATTCTGGGTAAAATTAAAAAATAAAGTATATATCACTGTAAAAACTTTATCTGAAATAACGAAAAAGTTGTTTCTGTAAATTTGGAACAACTGCCTTGAAAAAACCTCTTCTGAGGCAGGCCTATTATTCTTCCTTTTAATAATAGAGTAAACCCTTTCTTATTTGCACATCTAATTTCATTTGGACTACTACGGCAAACATTATCTCAACATACAGCAGATGTGGTGATAAGACTTGGCTTCGCCTTCCTACTCCATCCCATCCTAGCACTAAAGTAGCAGACCTTGCACATTGCAAAACTGATACCTTAATTCAATCATGGGAATGTCTTGGCACACTGCTGGCAATGGAAACATTTCATGGTGAGAAAATTAAGCTGAGGCAAGTGCATTAGTTTTCTAATGCTAAAATAAAATTGAAAAGTAGAAGCAAAATAAGGGGGGGAAAGCAGCAACACCTTCTGCAGCCTTTAAATATTTCTTCTCTCTGCTTTACAGAGAGATGCTACCTCATTCACCTTGATTTCGACCCACGAGATCTCGAACGTTCTCTGGAACTGGAACGAGATCTTGACTGCGAACTGGAAGAACTTCTTGAACGGGACCTGGAACAACATGGAAGGATTTTTTTTTTTCCAGGACCACTTAATTGAGCTTTGTGATATGAACACTGAAAGAAAGATATATATTAGAGTTGATTTTCACATAAAAAGATAACTACATGGGAGTTCAAAACATGGTAATTTAAATTAAATAAACTCCTTGTTTTAACAACAAAATTTAAGGCAGTTTTTTAATAATCAATTATCACTTTCCAAGTTTGATTAAATTATCCTAAAATCACTCAACTGTGCAAATTTAAACACTGAGTATTATCACTTTATTAGAAAGACAATGAATACTTTATGTCTACAATTAATCAGAAGCTACCCAGAACATATGCAAGAAAACAGAATGCTGTAGTACATATTTAATTTCTCTAGAATGTTCCTATTATTTTCCTGTATGAAGCCCTTTCTATTTACTTTGTCAGCTTCTAGTTAGTATGATGCTTTAAATGTTGTCTGTGCACTCAAAGTTTAAAGAACATATATTTTTTTCTGTGCACTCAAAGTTTAAAGAACAAAGGGAAAATATATATTAATTATGTCATTGTTTTAGGTAATTATTGAAAAATACGTCACAAGGGTATATATGGTCCATTTGAATTTTAAAAATCACAAATTAAATAACATTTATTAGTCTAATTCACACCTTTAACTTGTCCCTTAAAATAATACCTGCAGGAAAAGATTATTACATTTATATCTCAAAGTTACCATTTATAAGCACACTTCTTTGAGCTTTCAAGCTTTAGGATGCTCAGTTAATAAATACCTAATTGGTAAGTACTCATTAGTATTTTATTCCTAAATATTAAAATTCACTGCTTGAGGCATCACTTAGCTGTAAATAAGGTGTTTCAAGAGAACATTATTTAAGTCATTGCTTTTACTCACCTACAATTTTATTTTTATTGTTAACTATAAAATCAGATTATATATTTTACATTACCAAGCAAAAGAATATTCAAATAGAACATCAACTGAGTCCTCTTATTTCTCCACATCTCAAAATTATGAGCATTAAGTCAACAAAACTAATATGGCTGAACTTTCTCCTTTATTCAGAATACTAATACCAAAGTAAACTATCAAAACATTATTTAACAAGCAACGATTTAATCAATACCTAGACAATTTCCACGCTAGCCTTTAACATTGTTAATGAAAATATACATCTTGGTTACCTAAAACTCTAAACATAAGCTAACTACTTAATTAAATATAAGTGTATATAATTATTTAATTGATTTTTTATTCTGTTTTAATAAAAAAAAGCAAGAGGGCAAAATAGGCTAAGAAAGTTTCATGTTAAGATTTTGCATTTCTAAAAATACTGCATAATCACTGCATGGCATTAATATGAAAAATCCTTTTAAAAGGAGACATATTACATATTAAAGGAAAGCTTATTTAAATCAAGAAAAACAAAATTATAAATAAAGAAGTTAGATACTGACATTTTGACTGTTGTTACCCTTGACCTGTACCCGTTTACCTGGACCTAGACCTTGAACTTGAGGGGGAGGATGAGCGTGATGAAGATCGTGAATGTGAAGATCGAGACTTTGAACGACTTCGTCTATTAGATTTCTTTTTATTACTATCTTCTTCTTCACTGGCATCAAGATTGTATTTTGAGAGATCAGCATCATCTTCATCCTCATCCTAACAGGAATTCAATTACATTTAGACATTTGGATTTTGTGACCTACTAGGAAAGATGAAAAGCGTACTGGACATATGGATGCAGCCACATCACCGTAACTCAGGAAATTCATTCTCAATTCTGCAATTCACCTACTAAACTCTTCACTGCAGCTAAAGAGACTTGACAACGTTGTTTCAAATATTTCACAGACATAAATCCTGAAGTCATCCCCTCCTTTTCTGTTATACACAATGCATTACACCAAATTAGCAGCCAAGAATTTTCAATTTGATCTCTTTTAAAGTATTTATTTCATCAATTGCAATCCAGGGCCTCCAAACTACCCCTAATCTGGCATAAATTTATACTCTGAACCCACAGGACAATCATCTTCACCCCTATAGTGGGTGCTGTCTCCTCACCTCATTCTCCTCTCTAGTCTAACACCACCAGTCTGGGTATAACTCCTTGAAGGCTGCTGGCTTGTTTCCTATTTAGGGAACTTGTTTTTGCTGTTCTCTGCCTGAATGTGCTCTCACCCAAACTCTTATTGTTGGCTTTCACCTCCTTAGAAATCATCCATGGAAGGAATACAAAGTGGCTCTTCCTTTTTGGGGTTTTTTTTTTTTTTTTTTGAGTAAGAGTCCCATTCTGTTGCCCAGGCTGCAGTGCAGTGGCAGTCACTGCAGTCTTGATCTGCTGGGCTCATGCAACCCTTCCAAGTAGCTGAAGCTAAGGCATGCGCCACCATGCCTCGCTAATTTTTTTATTTATTGTAGAGACAAGGTCTCGCCAAGTGGTCCAGGCTGGTCTTGAATCCCTAGGCTCAGGTAATACTCTCACCCTCGCTTCTCAAAGTGCTGGGATTACAGGCATGAGCCACCACATTGAGCCGATCAAAGCAGCTCTTCCAATTATGTTATCAAATCATGTGTCTTCATAACATTATTGCTATCTAAATTATCTTGTTCATTTATATTTTCTGTCCTTGAGAATTTAATAGAGAGGGTAGCTCTGTCTTGATTTGTTTCTCCAGAACAAAAATAGTACTTGGCAGAGTGGAAGCTCCAAATTTTTGTGAGATAAAAATTAAAACAACTTATTTTCACCAAGTACCCAAGGCTGTCAAAGGATTCACATGACATTATAATTCAAATAAGACAAAGGGAAAATAGGACGAGGAAATTATTTACCTCATCCAATTTATATTTAGAAAGATCTTCATCCTCATCCTCTTCTTCTCCCTCTGATTCCTTATCTTCGACTTCCTTTAATATAGATGCAGGACCAACCGCCTTTCCTCTGTATTTTTTCTTTTTACGTCCGAACTAAAGAGAAACAGTTTCAAAACATACCCATCAGCTAAAAATGCATTAAAATTAACATTTTCAAAAAACTATTTTTAAACATTTAAACCAGTTATAGTTTCCCACAAATGTTTTAGCTGCCATAAAAGACTCAGACTGTACTTACAAAAAAAGATACGTTTAACATTTTTCCTTTGCATTAAACACATTTTCTAACATATTTTTCTAGTTTGTATTCAATTTGAACACCGATATATAGCTTACCTCATCATATTCACCATCAGATTCTTCTCTTTCTATATATTCAACATTTTCTCTTTCATTAAAACCACCACCATATCCTTAAAAAAGAGGACATAAATTGTTATCCTATGACAATTCACTTAAGCAGCAAACACATTATGCTCAAATCACATCCAGAGAATATACTCTAATCAGTAACAGTTGCCTATCTAATATGCTACTATTCTTTAGGAAAGCATATCAAAAATCACTGAAGAAAACAAAGTCAGACAACCTGGTTGAAAAGTTATATGGCTATACTTGTGGCTCTTTGCAATTTCAAAATGCCCTATATGATTTAAGCAATTAATGGAATGTATGGGTAGAAACATTTTCTCAAACCTCTGCCATGATCAAGTTTTAAAAGGACTGTCCTCTAAAGTTTATCATAATTCTTCTGGAAGAGAAGGCATAATAAGAACCAAGTACTGAATTTCACTGTTTACCAGCTGTAGAGAGTCTGAAATCTTCTGATATATTTTGCTAAGCCAAAATGTAATAGGTCACTAATGAGAGCTTAGAAAATTCCTAATTACATAGGTAAATGACACAATAAAGGCCACCCTTTGGCCTTGGTTTTACTGGTTTTAACACAATTAAAAATATATATACAGTTAAAGTCACTCAGGTTCTCTGAAGTAGTCAGTTAACTTTCAAACTAAAATCTTGCTATTAAAAAAGTAGTCAGCCGGGCTCGGTGGCTCAGCCTGTAATCCCGCGCCTTTGGGAGGCTGAGGTGAGTGGACTGCCTGAGCTCACGGGTTCAAGACCCACCTGGGCAGGTGAGACCTTATCTCTACAATAAAAAAAAAAAAAAATTAGCTGGGCGTGGTATCGTGCGCCTGTAGTTCCAGCTACTAGGAAGGCTGAGGCGGAAGGATCGCCAGAGCCCAGCAGGTCGAGGCTGCGGTGGCCGGGAGCGGCCACTGCACTCCAGTCTGGGCGACAGAGTGAGACTCCACCTCAAAAATAAATAAATAAATAAATAAAAATAAAAAAGTAGTCAAAGCCGGGCACAGTAGTTCACGCCTATAACCCCAGCGCTTTGGGAGGCCAAGGTGAGAGGATTGCCAGAGCCCACGGGTTCGAGACCACCCCGGGCAAATTGGCAAGACCTCATCTCTAAACAAAAAAATTAGCTGGGCATGGTGGCGTGTGCCTGTAGTTCCAGCTACTTGGAAGTCTGAGGTGGAAGGATCACTTGAGCCCAGCTGGCCGAGGCTGCAGTGGTCGTGAAAGTGCCACTCACTACACTCCAGCCTGGGTGACAGAGACTCCAACTCAAACAAACAAAAAATAAAATAAAGTAAAAAAGTAGTCAAGATTAGCAAGCCATTATCTTCTGGTATCACAACTAATGCTTACAATTCAACTGGCAGGTCTTTGACATAAAAAAAAAAGACTGAAATAAAGAAGTGAGCTAATATATTTTTTTTTAAGATGACAGATCTAAATAAGTCTTCTGCTAAAAAGTTTGTCGCCAAAAGTAACATCACCTATTTGGTAACATATTCCAGAGCAGTATCAGTACATAAAGTTCATGAGGCCAATCATTTTCAGACTTAAAGACTGCATAAACCAGCAAAATGTTAATTATATCTATTTTTAAAAATTATTTTTTAAGTTAGAACCTGTGACTTTGACATTAAAAATCATTTTAAATTTCATTTTCTGGAGAAAAACACCGATATATATCTTTTCTGCTCCATACTTTGCATAATCTTCACAATACTTAAACAGTAAAATGACTTTAAAATGAACGTCACAGCTAATACAAAGCTATTTTCACATTCTCATATAGGCCACAGAAAAATAAACAAAATAGTCTGTTGCAGTCATAAAAGGAACAAAATCACGTCCTTTGCTACAACATTAACGGACCGGAGGCCATCAGCCTAAGTGAAACATCAGAAATGGAAAATCAAATACTGCATGTTTGCATTTATAAGCGGGAGTCAAACAACAGGTCAGCGTGGACATACAGACAAAACCAACAGACACCAGGGACACCAAGGGGGAGAGAGGCCGAGGGGTCAGGGCTAAGAAAGCATCTGCTGGGCATAACAGTCACCATTTGGGTGATGACGGGCACACGAAGCCCAAATCCACCATCATGCAACATACCCATGTAACCAACCCTGCACGTGTGCCCCCGAACCTAAAATAAAACAAAGCTTAAAAAAAAATCACTAGTAAGGTATGACGTGTGAACCCACTCAAGAAACTCAGTTTGCCAACTCCTCGCGGTACATGGGAAACACAGCAGACCCCGCTCTTAAAAAACCTTGAGCACATCATCGCCACTTGACAGGCAAGGTGTAGGAATCAACGGAAGGGCGCTTGCGTCCCCTTCATTCCGAACTACGGCACAGCAGGTATGCGGCAAAAACCGGTCTTCTTGCTTCCACTTTGCCACCTCCTCCCCCGGTTCCTTTCCCACACACGAGGAAGAACTGTGTGTGCTACTTCAATGACTCATCTTCCATTGCTTAGCTCCAGCACAGCTTCCTCAGAGTATTTCACTGTCCTTGGCACTACATGACTATATGTGGCTTACCCAGATATCCCCAGCCTCGTGCAGTGGCCTAAAATATATCTTCAATGAAAGATGACATTAAACCACCACAACTGTAGTATCATTTAAAGAATATGAGTTTCCTCAGAAGGCTTTAGAAAGCAACCAAGAATCTCTGTAGGTTTTTTAGCAAAAGTCTTGCAATGAAAATATTTTCATATTTGTCTAGTAATGGAAAAAGCTGAGCGAGGGCCAGGGAAGAATCAAACAGAGGTTCAAAATGAGTGTTTGACAACGGAAATGAAGAGACAAAAGGGAATAAACATAGCATGTACTTCAAAGGAGGAATGAAGACATTAGCCAGAAAATTCTGTGGTTCTAGACTAATAATTCAGTTCCTGAGAATTTATTCTAAGAAAATAATTCAAAAGAATACAGCCGGGCTCGGTGGCTCAGCCTGTAATCCCACGCCTTTGAGAGGCTGAAGTGAGTCGATTGCCTGAGCCCGCGGGTTCGAGACCCGCCTGGGTAGTGAGACCTCATCTCTACATTAAATCAAAAAATCAGCCGGGCGTGGTAGCGCATGCCTGTAATTCCGGCTACTTGGAAGGCTGAGATGGAAGGATCGCCGGAGCCCAGCAGGTCGAGGCTGCGGTGGCCGGGAGCGGCCACTGCACTCCAGTCTGGGCGACCGAGTGAGACTCCAACTCAAAAAAAAAAAGAATACAAATCATAAGGTATTAAGATCACTTCCAGGCAGTTATCCTTCAGGGCTGAAACAAGAAAAGCAGACAAAAATATACATAATCCTAAGCTTCAGGACAGGAGAATGGCTAAAGTAAATTATCAAACAACAACTTGACGGAATTATGCAGGAGATGCCAGCGATCTTTCAGAAGTAGGGGATCAAGTTTTTTATTCCTATCCTGCCCCATGCTTAGGAAATTACTCCCTGAACTGTACTGCTTTATTAAAAATAGCCAAGAGAAATTGGAGAGCATAAGAATAAGTTTTTTCACATTTTCAACTGTTACCAGCAAAGACAAATAAGCACTTACAGCCAGGGAAGTGGGAAAGGTTGAAGACATCAGGATGACAGAAAGATACTGAATAAAGGAAAGTGAGAAGGTATGAAACAAAATGTGCTGACTTCAATTTGTTAGACTACAGCCCTTGCAACAGTGAAACTTTAGTAAAGGAGTTATGAAATAGGTAAAAAAAAAAAAAAAAAAAAAAAAAAGAAACAAAAAAAAATTTGTCTTTTGAGATATTTAAAACAGTCAAAAAACTTCAGATTTTATCCTAAAAGAAATCAAAAGGGCGTTAAACAAAAACAGTTTTTAGTTTGAAGAACAAAACAAAAAGCCCACCTGGAAACCACCCAGTTGTTTTTTTCCCCACAAGAGACAATGATCTCTGCCCAGGGAGGCAATGGGAGATGGGTGAGAGGCGGAGGAGCTACCTAGGCTTCGAAGGCCGTCTAGGCCTGTGGCTTCTGTAACAGATGTGAGGTGGGTGGTGCTAATCGTGAAGAGATCACTGGAAGAGGGCCAGGTCCCGGGGCGGGGC